TCTGTCCATGTCTGTATGTCTCTCTTTCTCCTTTCTGGGCCATCTTCTCTCTAAGATTTATTTATTTATTCAAAAGAGTTACACAGAGAAGGAGAGGTAGACAGAGAGAGGTCCTCCATCCGCTGGTTCTCTCCCCAACTGGCCACAATGGCCGGAGCTGTGCCGATCTGAAGGCAGGAGCCAGGAGCTTCTTCTGGGTCTCCCATGTGGGAGTTGGGCTATATTTGACTGCTTTCACAGGCCATGGCAGAGAGGTGGATCAGAAGTGGAGCAGCCAGGACCCAAAGTGGCACCCATATGCAGGTGGCGGCTTTCCCTGCTATGCCAGAGCATTGGCTCCAAGCCATCTTTTCTTAAGAATCTAAAGTCTCAGGGCCGAGACTTACTTCACAAAGCAAGCAGCTCTCTGCTGTGGCCTAAGAAAGCAGTGGAAGATGGCCCAAGCCCTTGGATCCCTGTACCCACATGGGAGACCCAGAAGAAGCTCATGGCTCCTGACTTTGGATCAGCTCAGCTCCAGCTGTGCAGCCGTTTCGGGAGTGAACTAGCAGATGGAAGACCTCTCTCTGTCTCTACCTCTTTCTCTGTAACTCTTTTAAATAACTAAATAAATCTTAAAAAAAAAAAAAGAATCTAAAGTCTCCAGAGAGACACAGAAGAGAACATTCAATAAACTTCTCTGGAAGCATCAGCCACATTGATATTTCTTATCAGCATGGTATACAATCAAAGAAATGCATGGCCAGCAATTCCTGGACACACTCTCAGCTCTTCTGCTCAACTACTCTAAGAGATTTACTAGTCAGAAAACAGAATTCTCTAGGCCAGAAGGTGAGAAAATCAATCTACTGCCTCAAGAAAGTCTGGCACACCAAGGCTTACTTTGTTTTAGCCTCAAGTGAACAAAATTGACTCCACTACCAGATCCGAGGTGCTTCACTTCTTGTTTCCACAAAGCTCTTATTTCACAAGGCATGCAGAAGGATGGCCATGAGTTTCTTTACAGACCCCAGGGTATTTGTTTCTTGCAATGTATAGAAGACTGATACTTTCATGAGCCAAGAAGTGCGTTTCCTCCTTACCCTGCCCCAAGTTCCTTCCATCTCAGTGCCACTATCCTAACCTACACAGCTTTCATGTCTTCCTCATCCACCACAGCCCATCCTCCATGGAGCAGCCCAAGAGACTTTTTAGATAACACATTTGTTGACATATAGTTCACATGCCAAAAAATTCACCTGGCATGATTCAGTGTTTTTTTAATGTATTCAACAGAATTGGGCAAACAGTACCATGACCTAATTTTAGAACATTTTCATTTTCTCAGAAGGAAGCTCCATACACATTTGGAGTCACATACCATTTCCCTTCCTCACCCGCCACATCCCGGCAACCATTAATCTACTTCTGTAATTTTTCTGTATTTGCATATTTTGAACATTTCACACACATGCAGATTATAATGCATAGTATTTTAAAGTGCATTCTTCCCTTAGCATAATGCTTTTAAGATACATTTTTGCACACATTCATTCCTTTTATTGCCAAATAGTATTTTATTTATGTATATATCATGTTTTATTTTCCATTTATGAGTTGAAAATTTGTTCTGCTACAACTTCTGTGCTATTATGAATAATGCTGCTGTGAGCACTCAGGAAACATTTTTGTGTGGACATATGTTTTCTATGTTCTTGGGGATAAATCTATGAGTGGAACTTCCAGGTCATATACTAACACAATATTTAACATTTTGAATAATTTGCAAAAAGCCAAAGTGGCTGCTGCATTTTATAATCTTGTCAGCACTATTTCTCCACATCCTGAATAAGATTTCCTATTGTCTGTTTTTAGATTAAAGCTATACCCATGGAGCAAACTGTTGAAATCCTTACTTAATGTATACTAAGCTGATCTTCTGTATATTAAGATAATCGAAAATGAATCTTGATGTGAATGGAAGGGGAGAGGGAGTGGGAAAGGGGAGGGTTGTGGGTGGGAGGGACGGTATGGGGGGGAAGCCATTGTAATCCATAAATCATACTTTGGAAATTTATATTCATTAAATAAAAGTAAAAAAAAAGCTATACCCATGAATATGAAATGATGTCTCACTGTGATTTTGATTTCCCCAATGATTAATGATGCTGATCATCTGAAGTGCTTACTGACCATTTGTTATACAGCTTTTTAGAAGTATTTATCCAAATCTTTAGGTTATTTTTAAATTGAATTATTTGTCTTTTTATTGCTGAATTATGTTCTTTTATATTCTAAGATACAAGTCCAAGTGATTTTCAAAAAGAGAAATCAGATATTATCACTCCCTTGCTAGTACCCTCTAATGGATTCCCAGTATGTTCACAATAAAATCCAAAATTTTCACTCTGGATTACAAAGTCCTACAGATTTGCCCCTGCCCACTTCTCCAATACATCTTGTACCCCTTTCCACTCAGGCAATGCAGTGTAATCAGGGTGGTCTGTTTTCTGGCCCGAAATGCAGCAAATTCATTCATGTCCCAGCACCATAGAATTAGCTGTCTCACCTGCATGCCTGGAATTCTTTTTCCTTGGATGGCACCTTCTCATTATTCAAGTCTCAATTCAAATGTCAACTTTTCAGATAAATTTTCCTGAAAATAAATTCTATCTCAAGAAGTTCTCCTTCCACAAAGAATCTTTTGGCAATGATTGGTATGTTGATCAGCTTGATTGTGGAAATGGTTTCATGTACATATAGATATGTATATCAAACATTTTCAAATTTTACACTTTAAATATGTGCCATTGTCAATTACACTTAAAAAGCTACTAAACAAAATTATCATCTCATGATCATACCTTGACTGCCACTATCTTATCATACTTTACATTTTCTTAGGCATAATTATTTTTATCTACAGAAATTATCCATCTGAAATTATCTTATTTCTTGATTTCTATGTTTACCTTCTGTCTCACTCCACCAGAACAGAAGTGCAATGAGGGAGGAGGAATATTTTTCATCTTTGCCACTGTTGTATCCTTAGCATGGCTTACAATTAGGTGTACAATAAATATTTGGCTAATTGAATGAATTAATTCAACAAAGGTTTAGAAAAGAGGCTCTGAGACAACAGGTAACTTTCCACACCCTCAGATTCCCAGACTTAAGAGGATGAGATGACGATTGTTATTTTCTTTACTAAGAGCAACTATCTAAAAAAAATCAAAATCTATCCTGGTTGGTCTCCACTATCATCATCATAAGTATCATTAGCATAAAGGGGAGAGTGATCCAACATGGGAAGTGAGATACTCAGCAGACTCATAGAATGGCAGATGTCCTAAATAGCACTCTGGCCTCAGAATCAGCCCTAAAGGCACTCGGATCTGGCTGAAAAGCCCATGAGAGTATTTCAGGCATGGGAAGCCAAGACACTCTGGCAAAAAGATCTCTGTGAGTGAGATCCCAGTGGAAAGAACAGGTCTTCAAAGAGGGAGGTGCCTTTCTCTGAAGGGAGGAGAGAACCTCCACTTTGACTATGACCGTTTCCAAACAAGATAAGAGTCGGAGAACTCAAGGGGCTTCCATAGCCTTGGAAACTCATGACTGGTGCATAGGGAGATTACTGATGCCATAAACAGGAGTGTCAATTTGTAAAGTCAACAACAGGAGTCACTGTGCACTTACTCCTCATGTAGGATCTCTGTCCTTAATGTGCTGTACACTGAGGCTTAATGCTATAACGAGTACTCAAACAGTATATTTCACTTTGTGTTTCTATGGGGGTGCAAACGATTGAAATCTTTACTTAATGTACACTAAACTGATCTTCTGTAAAAAAAAAAAAAGAAATTATCAATTCCCAACTTGACTCTCACTGGGATTAAACATGACAATAGGTCTGATCTGATTTCATCATCATTTAAAAAAAATCATCTATTATTTTTCACTTTATGTTTCTGTGTGGGAGCAAACTGTTGAAATCCTTACTTAAGGTATACTAAGCTGATCTTCTGTATATTAAGATAATCGAAAATGAATCTTGATGTGAATGGAAGGGGAGAGGGAGTGGGAAAGGGGAGGGTTGTGGGTGGGAGGGACGGTATGGGGGGGGGAAGCCATTGTAACCCATGAGTCGTACTTTGGAAATTTATATTCATTAAATAAAAGATAAAAAAAAAGTATCATTAGCATTCATTTAGTCTGTGACAGTATTCTAGTATTTTATAAATACTCTCCCACTGGTAGTGGTTATTAGTTTTATAACAATACTATTAGAATATGATAGCATATAATAATCATACAGTACTATATAGTAATTATAATAAATGCAACACGGTACATAACTGTAATAGCAGTAATACAATAAAAATTGTTTAGCACTTGTCATTTGTCAGATGTAAGTGTTTTACTCATGTAATCTCACATATTTCTCACGATAACTTTATGAAGTAGGTATTCATTTATAGATGTGGAATTTGAGGTTAAGAGAAGTGAATTAACTGCTCAAAGCCACACAGTTGATAAGGACAAAGCTAGAACTCAAACCCCTGTCTGTCTCACTTCAAAGCTCAGTTTTTTTTTTTTTTTTTTTTTTTTTTTTTACTTTGTCACAGTGGTTCTTGAGACTTTCTACAATCCAATGTTACTTCAGCTTATGTACAAATCCCCAAGGCCTAAGGAAGATGTCTGCCTTGAGAATGATCTTACTTAAAACTCTGAAATGTTTTAGGGACAGAAGTAAAGAGAGGTGAAGCTAATTGCCTGAGAATAAAACCAGATATTTTAAGCAAGGAATTTTTACTTTATGGCAAACTCCATGACTAGCTTCATCGACATTTAATTGTCTCTATTTCTGATTATTCTCTGGAAGACCCTGGCTTTTACCTAAGTTGCTGGCCCTTGTTCCTCCTCTGCCTACTGGCTAAGCTCACCAGTGAAGATACGCTGACCATGACAGACCTGGGTAATTCTATTACCCTATAATATAATGCCTATAGTTGGGCATTTACCTTTGGTGCCAGGTGGTTGTAGGTTGTCTCCAGTCAAGGAACACCAGCCCACGGGGAAGATGTCTCGGGAATCAAAGCGGCACCAGTAGTCAAAGGCCCCTCGCCACCCATCAAAAGTGACAAGCACCTCCGAGCCCCGAACTTCCCCAATAGTGGCTGGGCAAATGAAATGAGGGTTCTTCCTGTCCACAGCTTCTAGCTTCATGCCCATTTTGAAGAAGTTGTGGGAAGGCGATGGTGGCTCCTAGATGAGAAACAGAAATACACAGACCTAGACACAAAGATAGAGGCTATGTATGCTAACAGACTGCTATCTCATTTGGATGAGTAAAAGTGACTGCTAGGGGCCAGCACTGTGGTGTAGCAGGTAAAGCTGCTACTTATGGGCACTGGTTCGAGCCCTAACTGCTCCTCTTCTGATTCAGCTCTCTGCTATGGTCTCGGAAAGTAGCAGAGGATGGCCCAAGTGCTTGGGCCCCTGCACCCACGTGGGAGACCTGGAAGAAAGAAACTCTTGGCTCCTGGCTTCAGTTCAACCCCGCTCCCAGTCACTATGGCCATTTGGGGAGTGAACCAGTGGATGGAGAACCTCTCTCTCTCTCTCTCTGCCTTTCTGTAACTCTGCCTTACAAATAAAGAAGTAAAAAAGTGATTGCTATATGAGATTTATAATGGAGGCTCAGTCATATTTTAAATATATTTTAAAGTATTCCAAAGTATTACTTAATTAATCCAAACATTTGATACCTTTGCTTTAGATTTTTGTTAAATAAATAAATTTACAGATAGAGTCTCCCTTTGTGCCCTTTCTCTCTCCTATTTCCCTTCTATCTACAACAGAGGTAACAACTACCCATATATTTTTATATCTTATTATATAAATACATATCCATTTGTATGCTTTTAAATTTTATATAAATGGTATTATACTATACACATTCTACAATTTTTTTAACATCATGTTTTTATAAGTTATTCACATTGATAAATACAGCTCCAGATCATTTAAACTATTAATAATATTCCATTATGTGTATACATCAAAATTTGCTCTTTCTTTTTATTAAGATTCATTTATTTATTTGAAAGGTAGAGTTACAGAGAGGCAGAGGTGGAGGTGAGGGGTCTTCCATCTGCTGGTCCAGTCTCCAGCTGGCTGCAAGGCTGGAACTGAGCTGATCTGAAGCCAGCAGCCAGGAGCTTCTTCCGGGTCTCCTGCGTGGGTGCAGGGGCCCAAGGACTGGGCCATCTTCCACTGCTTTCCCAGGCTATAGCAGAGAGCTGGATTGGAAGCGGAGCAGCCGGGACTCAAACCGGTGTCCATACGGGATTCAGGCACTGCAGCCAGAGGCTTTACCTGCTACGCCATAGCAGCAGTCCCACTCATTCTCTTTTGAAAGACATTTAAAGTTGTTCCAAATTGTTTACTACTTCAAAAAAGTTTTAGTGAACATCCTTGCACTGTTACATGCTTTACATGCAGGAGGGAACCAGGGATTTCATCTGAGTTTCCCATGTGGTGGTAGGGACCCAAGTACTTCAGCAATCATCTGGCACACCAGCAGGAAGCTGGCTCAGAAGTGTGAAGTAGCTGGGACTCAAACCACTACTCAAATTGGCACACTCCAATACGGGATGCAGGCATTAAACCACTGCACCAGAACACCCACTCCTATTCTTTCTTTTTTAGCTATTATATGCATTTTAATCAGCTTTTCAAGTTCCTAAGAAAAATCTTATGAGGATTCTGACTGAAATTGAAATGAAGTAATAGATTAATTTGTGTAGGCATATTCTTTGTTAGGTATAATAATTGAGCCTTCTGAAATGAAAAGACATGACAGGGGCCTGTGCTGTGGCAAGTAAAGCCACTGCCTGTAGTGCTGGCATTCCATATGGGCACCAGTTCAAGTCCAAGCTGCTCCACTTCCGATCCAGCTCTCTGCTATGGCCTGGGAAAGCAGCAGAAGATGGCCCTTGCACCTGTGTGGGAGACCTGGAGGAAGGTCTTGGCTCCTGGCTTTGGATAGGCACAGGTCCGACCATTGTGACCAACTGTGGTGTGAACCAGAGGATGGAAGACCTCTCTCTCTCTCTCTCTCTTTGACTCTCCTTCTCTCTTTGTGTAACTCTGACTTTCAAATAAATAACTAAATCTTTTTTTAGAAAAAAGACATGAAAGTCTTTTCCATCTGTTAAGATTTTTAAAAATATGAATGTCTTCTTTAATATAGATAACATAGAAGAAATAATCTTCACTATGTATGACACTGAACTTTTGCAATGGAAAAGGTTATCATTTATTGAAGACTTCTTAAATATGAACTTATTCTTAAACAGATTTTTAAATTTCCTTTATAAATAACTATTGTTTACTAATATGTTTTTCTAGGTATATTATCTAATTCTATTATTGGCCGGCGCCGCGGCTCAGTAGGCTAATCCTCCGCCTTGCGGCGCCGGCACACCGGGTTCTAGTCCCAGTCGGGGCGCCGGATTCTTTCCCGGTTGCCCCTCTTCCATGCCAGCTCTCTGCTGTGGCCAGGGAGTGCAGTGGAGGATGGCCCAAGTGCTTGGGCCCTGCACCCCATGGGAGACCAGGATAAGCACCTGGCTCCTGCCTTCGGATAGGCGCGGTGTGCCGGCCGCAGCGCGCCAGCCGCGGCGGCCATTGGAGGGTGAACCAACAGCAAAGGAAGACCTTTCTGTCTCTCTCTCTCACTGTCCAAAAAAAAAAAAATTCTATTATTATAAATGCCATTTAAAAATTTTTTTCAAATCATTTGTTCTTATTAAGTAGGAATAAACTAGTAATATATTTTGTATATTTTATAACTGCTTTAATTTGTGAACTGTACTTTAAAAAATGTATTTATTTTTATTTATTTTGAAAGACAGAGTTACCCAGAGAGGAAGAGAAACAGAGAGAGATCTTCTACCTGCTGGCTCACTCCCCAAATAAATACAGAGCCTGGAGCTCTATCTGGATCTCCCATGTAGGTGCAAGGGACCAAGCACTTGGGCCATCCTCTGCGGCCTCCCAGGCACATTATCAAGGAAGCTGGATCAGAAGTGGAGCAGCCAGGACTTACTGGTGCCCAGTGGATGCTGGTATCCCAAGTGGCAGCTCAACCTGCTGAGCCACAATGCCATCCCACTGTACTTTTTTTTAATCATTAGGTAGTGATCTCTTTAACACTTTTTAGAATCAAAGTCTTCTTTGTCTGATTTTAGTATAGTTTATATCAAATTAATTTTGATAAAAGCTTGCCCAATATATCTTTTATTTTCAACATTTTATGTTATTATATCTAAGCAGTGTCTATAGTAAATATCATATATTTAGATTTTAAACATCTATGTATTACTAAACTGATGAGTCTAAGCTTATTTCCTGTGGTAACTGATATATCTGAATTTATTAGAACCATCTTATTGTTCACATATCCATTTAACTTGATTTTTTTCTTGGATATGGGCAAATTTCAGTTTAATTGCAAAAACTTTCATTTACAGCAAAATCATGAACAACAGGAAAGCTGCCAACTTTGAACACAGGAAATATAAAATTCTTTTGCAATTCAGGTAGTACAGATAGGGGCCTTCCACAGGGAGCACAACCTCCCTTGTTTTCCTGAAGACAGACGTTTTCAAAGATGGCAAGGCATACTGGGAAAATCACACTAGTGGGAGGTACCTTGCAGAGGAAGAAAGAAAAACTCTTATCCATAATATAAGGTAAATATATAACAGTCATCCCACTTGATAAAGCAAGTAGATATTCTCTTTGGGTTAGGCTAAAAGTAGAACACTAAGTAAAAGGGGGAAACCAACTCCCATACAGTGCCAAATAAACCAGTTCCATCCCCAAGCATGGAGTTACTAACCTTGCTACCTGAGATTATAGTCTCAATATAGTCCATCAAGAAAGCCCATGACCAGCAAATACAAATGGTCATTGAATTTAAATCATAAAGGATAATAGGGAAACTCTTTTGTTATTTTTGTGTGTGTGGGTGTGCATGTGTATTTTACAGCAATGGTTACACAATCAACATTTCTGTTTTCATAAGGGTTTGCTCTATACACTGGATGGTTTAAGCAAAGTACTGTGTAATTTTTTGATTTTATTTTATACTTTGCATACAGATGGAGGGAACAGAGAAAAAGTATGACTAATCATTGCCTCAAAGGGTATAAAATCAGACTTCTGACTCAAGGCCCATCCATACATAGCTTGGGGCAGCTTCAGTGCTCTAATGGAGTCCCTTAGATTCCCACCCCTACAGAAAGAACTCTATAGCTAATCTATCACAGTGTTCCAGCTCAAGCAAATGTGTAAAATGATGGAAGATTTCAACTTAACAACCAAATTTTAAAATGTAGCATTTCAGCAGCAAGGAAATTTGGAGAGCTCATCTCAGCAGTCGAATTGCAGAACTACTGCTCAGATGTTTGAGAAGTCAAGCTGTTGGCTCTCAGCTCTACTGCCTCCCTCCCAGGCTTAGGCAGACACAGAAGGCAGTGGTGGCTCCTTAGCAGAGCCATTAACAGTGGTACCATAAAGTGGAGGTAACAACATTTCAGTGTTATTGCTGGTGATATAAACCAGGACATCAGAGGCATTCCCGCTACTGATGTTTTGGTAACAGTTTCAAACGCAGCTAATCAAGTAATGCTTCAGTCAAGATATTGCTGATAAGCAGAAGAATAGTCACAATCAAACAGGTAGGATTCACTGACATGATGTCATCCTTGCCGGGGAAATTAGGAGGCAGTTAACTTATGTATTCCTGAATAGATAAACAAGCACAGTGACTGTAACCAAGGTGTTCAGAAAAAAATCAAAGATCCAGTAACAAGAACAGGATGAGCCAGGCAGTGTGTTGTTTGAATGCCCATAAGTGGGCACTGCACATATCAGGGTCATGAGAAATTGTAGTAGTTATGCACATATATTGGTATTATATGAACGCAATGTTGCCTCCTAGTTCAGGACTCAAAGTGATATTGGTCAACCAACACGCTCAGTAAAATCTTCAGGACCACAACATTGATGATCAAATACCAGACGCAAGCAGTATAGGGCTGGTGCGGACGTGGCAGCACAGGCAGGCAGCTGTTGGGAGTAGAACTGCGTCTAGGAGGCAATTATCTTCATCATTCCGGCTTTGAGCGCAGTGACGCGAGCGCATGCCCAAGTCTGCGGGAACTTCGGCTGTGCATCCCTAGGCTCTGCCACCACCTGAACTTCTGGCCCACTCACTCACCCTCCTGCCTACCCAGCTCCGCGATCCCCTTGAGAGCTCTGAGTGGCTGTCCCAACCTAACATTGTGCTCTGAAGGTGGCCAACTTGATTTTCAGTGTTGCTTTTTTTCTCCTTCTCAGTCAGCTCAGTCTTCTTCTCCCTCTCCCCTCCATTGATTTAGAAGTTAAACATTCTACTTGAAATCTTTTGGTGGACCCCCATAAGATTTTAACTGCAGAGTTGATTCAACAAAGTCTAAAACTCATCTTTATTTCTAGTCCAAAAAATAAAAGAACTTGAGGATATTTTAAGTATTCTTGGCTTGTATAGATGTAGGTAATTTAGTTCTATATTGGTCACTTTTGGTCTTATAATTGGTAGACACAGTAATAGGCAGTGCTTGATTAGTTTTATTCAAATGTAACCAATCTCTTCCTTCACCATTGCTTCTAGCATCTTGTTCTTATTGCTTCTAGGCCTTTTGGCTAAGATCAAGTGTAACATCCTATTATTACTTTCTGGTTCAACTACCTTCCTCTTAAAATATATTTTTCAGTTGCTTTACTAGTTGATATTTAGTATCTACTTGCATTGGCTTTTTCTGGATTGTTTGATTTTACCTTAATTCTGAAACAATACTACAAATTGATACAGAATTCCAGGTGAATGACTACATTCTCTCAGTACTTTGAAAATATTATTTCATTATTTTTTGGCTTATACTGCTGCTACCAAGAAATGTGCTGTCAGCTAACTAATTCCTCTGAAGGTATTATTCTGTTTGATCCTATCCTCTCTTTTGACTTTAGTTTTCTTTAGTAAGACCATGATGTTTTAAGGTGTGTATCTGTCTGTATTTCACATTCTAGAGAAGTCTCAGTTATCTTTTCAATACTGCCTTTCTCTAATTCATCTTTCTAGATTTTAAGTTTACCATCTAATGAGTCTTCTAATATTATTTTCCTTGTTTCTTTTCCTAACATTTCCATCTCTTTTCTCTGTGTGCTAATATGGGGAAATTCCTTACACATTCTTGCAGTTAATTTTTTTTATGTTTAAGTTACATATATACCTGTTAATTTTTAATTTTAATGGTTTGAAACTTAAGCTTCATATCTAGGTGTCCAATTTAGTCTTTCTCTAAATCTGCCTTTAAAAAATAGTATTTGGACTTTTTCCACTTTTTAATCCTTTGTTTAGCTCTGTATTTTTTTTAATTTTTTAAAGATTTTATTTATTTGAGAGGTAGAGTTACAGACAGTGAGAGGAAGAGACAGAGATAAAGGTCTTCCTTCTGTTGGTTCACTTACCAAATGACCTCAATGGCCGGAGCTGCACCGATTCGAAGCCAGGAGCCAGGTGCTTCTTCCCAGGCTCCCATGTGGGTGCAGGGGCCCAAGAACTTGGGCCATCTTTTACTGCTTTCCCAGGCCATAGCAGAGAGCTAGATTGGAAGAGGAGCAGCCAGGACTAGAACCGGCGCCCATATGGGATGCTGGTGCCAAAGGTGGAGCATTAACCTACTGTGCCACAGCACCAGTCCCTGTAGTTTTTTTTTTTTTTTTAAGATTTATTTATTTACTTGAAAGTCAGAGTTACACAGAAAGAAGAAGATAGAAAGAGAGAGATCTTCCATCCATTGGTTCACTCCCCAAATGCCCGTAACATCCGTAGCTGTGCCAGGCTGAAGCCAAGGGCCCAGAACTCCCTCCGTGTCTCCCAAATGGGTGGTAGGGGTGCAGGTACTTGGGTCACCTTCTGCTACTTTCCCAGGCACACTAGCAGGGAGCTGAATCTCAAGTGAAGCAACCGGTCTTGAGCCAGCATGGGATGCCAGTTCTGCAGACAGTGGCTTTTCCTGCTATGCCACAACTCCTGTCCCATTTCATTAGTTCTTTAAGTCATTTTCAAATACTTAATTCATAATCGCTATATATTTCTATTATCTGAAAGTCCTTGGGGTTACATCTATGGACTCCCCATTATGCTAGGTTTGTTAAAGCGTTGGAGGGCTGTCTAGGTCTGGACCACGTGCTTATCTGCAGTGGTACTTCACTCTGATGCCTGCAGTGAATCAAATTCTCCCAATTTTGGGTTTGTTTCTGCCAGGCACCTAGAAATAGCTCCGTACTATTCTGGAGTACTAGACAGCATATGAACTGTATCTGAACTCCATTCTTGTGCTTGCCCAGAGTTCAGCAGAAATTCTTCCTATCAACACAATCATCTTGTCACTAAGGGGTAAACATTTGAGGGAGCTGATCTGGTTTTTATGCGGCAGTTTCAGGTTCACATCCTTGCTGAGCTTGGGTCCAAGGCCTCATCTGTGTCTTAACTGTGGCTGTAGAAAGACAAGATCCTCAGAATAGCAAAGCTCCTTTGGCAGCAGCAGGGTCAGTAGCTAAATTAACACTCTTAGTTTTCCATCTTCATTTTTGGCCTCTGAAGATTTTTCTACCTCAACCAAACGTTGAAAAGAATATTTGCTAATTCCCTACCACTGAACTTTGAGGTATTTTGTAGTGAAAGAGTTTTAAGTTTTCAGGTATACTTTTATTTTTTAAATTAGGACATTCTCAGAGTTTAGACTTAATTGGGATCATGGGCAAACCAAACTAGTACCCTTTACAGTAACTCTCACCCCATTAGAAAATTCAACTGGTAGCAGACTGTCTTTTCCCTGAGGAATGAGGAAGAACAAATACCAGGTTTGTGTCCTTGTTCTCCCACTTACTAGCCATATGATCATGAGCAAGTGCCTTAGCAAAAATACATTTCCTTAACTATTAAATGGCAATAATAATTATTTGTTCATAAAGTTGTCTATGGGTATTAAATGAGGTAGTCTCTTTTATTTCTCTACAGAACTTGAAGAATATAAGTAATGTTTCTTTAGCTTATATAACATTTATAGTTCTAATAAAAATATTTTAACTTAACAGCCCTGTGAGGTAGACTGAGTCCCATGAAAGGATCTAAGTTTAGCTTATTACTGACAGATGAGATCCCAAACCCAAGAATCCTAACTTACACTCTAACATATTCCTTCCATGATAATTGTTACTTTGTAAGGTACTAAAAATTCTATTAAATTAGTTTCTGAGAAGGTATCTTTAGGCCATAAATATAATGTGAACATCACAGGCTCAGTAACTGACACAATTTAATTTTCTCTGACCTTATGCAGCTTGGAGTTGGTGACACTGAAGCGACAGCATACCTTATGGAAAATCCTGATGGGAGCCATCTCTGCTCCATTTAGTGTCTTCAAAAGGAACATGGGCCAAGAGGAAGCATTCAATCGAAATCCTACAGCAAATATAATGGGCAAAAAATTAAAAATATGTTCAAAAGGTAACGGTGAAACCAAGTTCTCCCTTTGGAATTCAGCTACTCATGTAACAACCTCTGCTGTGACAGCCACAGAATCATGTTTAAGAGAAGAATGTTTAAGAGAAGAAATGCCTCATTAGACAGATGAGGAAAATGAGACATAGAAGGGGAATTATAACTTGTCCAACATAATGCTGAAAAGTTAAGTAGGAGTACAGGGTCTCCAAATCAAGTTCCCTGAATCCAAGACATTTTAGAGAATATTTGTCATAATGTCTAGAAACTTTCCTTTCTAAACACAAAAAGGATATGAGCTATGACTAACAAATACTTAGAAATGATCTAGACAGTGGAATGTGAAAGGGGTTTTTATCTCTTAAGAAATCAAACATGTAAACTGATAAATCCAAGATAATCATAGAAGTCAATAATTCTAGTTTATCTCAACCTAACACAATGTGCTCATATAGTAAACAGTCATTACTGCAGTTAGGCATTCCACTTAAGAGCTCCAAGTGTTTCTTTGAATTTGGCTTCAGATCTCCAACCTGGGATGACAAAATTTAATACTTCTTGATAGTCTCCTAACCTATACCAGTCTTATTTAATTACAAAGAGCACACAGGCTATACCAAAGCTGCAGAGTTGGAAATAACAACAGATTCTGATATTATTCAGCACAATACTGTGTGCTAGGTACCATGCCAATCACTTTTCATTGACTATCTAATTTAGTCATTAAGACAGCTGTAGCAGGTAGATACAATCTTCATTTTATATATAAGGAAACAGGCACAGAATTAAGTAAACTGCTTAAGATTTCAAATGACAAAGACAGGAATGACTCCAGGGCCTATAATCCTTTTTAAGGATTTATTTATTTATTTGAAAGTCAATTACACAGAGAGAAGGAAAGACAGAAGGAGGGAGGAAGAGGGAGGGAGGGAGGGAGGGAGGGAGAATCTTCCATCCACTGGTTCACTACACAGATGGTCAGAAGGCTAGGGCTGGGAGGGGCTAGGAGCCAGAGCCAGGAGCCAGGAGCCAGGAGTTTCTTCCAGGTCTCATGGGTGACAGGGGTCCAAATCCTTGGACCATCTTCCACTGCTTTCCCAGGTGCATTAGCAGGGAGCTGTATGGGAAGTGGAGCAGCCAGGATTCAAACTGGTGCCCATATGGGATGCCAAAGCTTTAGGTGTGGCTTTACTGGCATACAATGCCAGCCCCAGGAGCCTATACTTTTAACCACTATATCTAGGTAAAATGAAAAATGAAGAATTAGCTTTTAGATTAAATATTAATAACTATAATTCAATTCAAGGCAGAGGTAAGAAGAGAGAAAATGGAAATAAAAAGTTACCACACAATATGATTTAAACTTTTTTGTACCAACACTGGTGAGGCTAAGCTATCCTTCCGAAATTCAAAGGTTTCTTGGGACAGTTCACCCCTATCAACAATGGTGATAGTGAAGTGGATGCTCCTATCACTTAATAAAACTTTTATCATGGTGGCTGGCGCTATGGTACAGAGGGTTAGGTTGCTGCCTACAGTGCTAGCATCCCACATGGGCACCAGTTCAAGTCCTGGCTGCTCCACTTCCAATACAGCTCCCTGCTAATGGCCTGGAAAAGCAGTGGAGGATGTCCCAAGTGCTTGCGCCTCTGTACCCAGATAGGAGACCTTGAAGAAGCTCCTGGCTCCTGACTTTGGCCTGGCCCAGCCCTGGCCATTGAGGCTATTTAGGAGCGAACCAGTGGATGGAAGTTCTACCTACCTATAAATAAATAAAATAATTAAAAAAAACCCCTGCCATCACTTGCATTTTTTGCTTATTTAGCTTTTATTTTTCTAAAGATTTATTTATTTTTTGAAAGGCAGAGTTACAGAGAGGCAGCCGCAACAGCTGGAACTGGGCCAACCCAAAGCCAGGAGCTTCTTCTGGATCTCCCAAGCAGGTGAGGGGCCCAAGTACTTGGGCCATCTACCACTGCCTTCCCAGGCCATAGCAGAGAGCTGGATCGGAAGTGGAGCAGCCAGGATTCAAATTGGCACCCAGATGGGATGCCGGCACTGCAGGAGGCAGCTTTACCCGCTATGCCACAGCGCCGGCCCCACTTATTTAGCTTTTATTTTCTTTTTTGGAAAACAAGTCATCCTAACTCTGTGTGACTTGGTGGGGATGGGGTAACAAACAATGTCACTTAAGAGCATCAGATTCCCCTAGATCAGAGGGGTGTGTGTATGTGTATGTATCTTCCAAGTTGGGCAATTATTTTCTGACAGGACATAGATGTTGGAGGGGAGATTCTTTTGCCTCTTACTGTCTGGTTTCTACACAGAGGCCAGAATGCTAAGTTTAGGCTCTTTTAAAATTTTTATTTATTTGTGTATGGTGGGAGATCTCCCATCCAATGGTTCATTCCCCAAATGCCTTCATTAGCTAGGGTTAGGCCAAGCCGAAGCTGGGAGCCAGGAACTCTACCCAGATCTCTCATGTGGGTGGCAAGGACCCAAGTACTTGAGCCATCATATGTTGCTTCTCAGAGTGTGCATTAGCAGGAAGCTGGAATCTGGAGTGGAACCAGGACTTGAATCTAGAGACTCCAACATGGGGTGCAGGTGTCCCAAGAAGGAGCTTAATCACTAGGCTAAATGCCCACCTTGGGTTTATGTTTATGCTTAAAAAACAGAGACAAGTCAGATCACATCACTCATATGTTTACATTCACAACGCAAAATAAATCTAAACTCTTTATTCACATTTATAAGGCTTTCATGATCTCAAACTTATTTATTCATCATTAGTAATCTCATTATTTACTTTCCTGCCCCCTTTACTGTTTTTCTAAAAGATTATATTTATGGCTGGCGTCGCGGCTCACTTGGCTAATCCTCCTCCTGCAGCGCCGGCACCTCGGGTTCTAGTCCCGGTTGGGGCGCTGGATTCTGTCCCGGTTGCTCCTCTTCCAGTCCAGCTCTCTGCTGTGGCCTGGGAGGGCAGTGGAGGATGGCCCAAGTGCTTGGGCCCTGCACCCCATGGGAGACCAAGAGGAAGCACCTGGCTCCTGGCTTCGGATCGGCGCAGCGCTGGCCGTAGCGGCCATTTGGGGGGGGGGGCGGTGAACCAATGGAAAAGGAAGACCTTTCTCTCTGTCTCTCTAACTCTGCCTGTCAAAAAAACAAAAACAAACAAAAAGATTATATTTACTTATTTATTTGAAAGGCAAAACAACACAGAGGTCACACACACAGCACACATACACACAATCTTCCATTTGCCTGTTTACTCTCCAAAAGGCTGTAATAGCCAGGGCCAGGCCAGGCCAAAGCCACAAGCCAGGAAATCCATCTGGGTTTCCCACATCAGTGGCAGGAGCCCAAGAACTTGAGCCATCCTCTCCTGCCTTACCAGGAGCATTAACAGGAAACCAGATCATAGAATGGAGTAGCTGGGACTCCAACTAGCACACCAATATGGGATCATAGCAGCACAAAAGGCAGCTTAACTAGCTGCGCCATGATGCCAGCCCCTGGTCTTCCTGTTTCTTAAACACATCAAGATGTTTCTTTGTCTCAAACAACTTTCCCTCAAATTTTTACATATATTTCACTGCTTAAAATGTCATCTCATTAGAGAGGTACTCCTATATTATTAACCTAACATAGTCTCCTGAATCTATTCTGATCCCTCCTTATTCCTAGCCCTTATTTCTTTTAAAATTTCTTTTTAAAACTTTCTTGTGTATCTCTTTTCTAATGCAAATGATTCCATTTAATTTTCAAAAAACCATGTACTGCAGATGTATTAATGACCTTGGAGATGAGACAACTGGAAACTCAAAGGTCAAGGTAGGAGCCGGCACTGTGGTATAGCGGGTAAAGCCGCCACCTGCAGTGCCAGCATCCCATATGGGCATTGGTTTGAGTCCTGGCTGCTCCACTTCTGATCAAGCTCTCTGCTATGGCCTGGGAAGGCAGTAGAAGATGGCCCAAGTTCTTGGGCTCTTGCACTCACATGGGAGACCTGGAAGAAGCTCCTGATTGACACAGCTCCAGCTGTTGCTGCCAATTGGGGAGTGAACCAGCGGATAGAAGTCCTCTCTCCTCTCTCTGTGTAACTCTGACTTTCAAATAAATAAATTAATAAATATTTTTTTTTAAAAAAGGTCAAGGTAAAGCAACTTACCAATGGCCACCCAACTAAGGTAGTGAGAAGCTAATGTTTACTTATTTTTAATTATTTTAATTGTATATATTTGTGGGTTACAGTGTGATAATTTGATACATATATTCAATGTGGCTAAGCTAACATTACAAAATCAGAGCTCTTTTAATTTCAAACCCAGTGAACCTGCAAATGCTATTTATCTGGGATTCTTCCTAACAAAGTAGTTCTAAAGAGCTTTCAGCTGCTCCCAAGACTGTGGGACCACTGAATAAACTATAGGGTCCCACTGCTTGAACTATAGACCTGATGAAGCTCTTGGATTTAAACACAGAGTAGCAAGCATACAATCTCTGGAGGCAGGCAAGAGAACGGCATTCAGATCAAGAACCACCAGCTGGGGGCGGTGATGTGGCATTAAGCGCGCCAGATCATGTCCCAGCTGCCCCACTTTCAATCCAGCTCTCTGCTAATGTACCTTAGATGGCAGTGGATAATGGCTCAAGTGCTTGTGTCCCTGCCACCCACAAGGGAGACCTGGATGGTGCTCCTGGCTCCTGGCTCTGGCCTGGCTGGACCAGACCATTGCAGTCATTTGTGAAATTAACTACTGGATGAGATCTCTCTTTCCTTGTCTCGGTGTAACTCTTTGAAAATAAACTATCTTAGGAAAAAAAAAAAGGATCATCTAAGGTCCACATGCTTTGTCTTATGTAACATAGTGACTCCAAGCTTTGTGGAATTACTGTGTGGCAATCAAGATGAATCCAGATGCTCTGAACTCATTTTCTTCTCCAAGAAGAGCTTTACATATACACATACTGAAAA